TCGTCCTTCTCCTCAACCTCATCCTCATCCCTCCTCATCCTCCGCCCTCCTCTCTTCTTCTCCTCCTCCTCCTCCTCCTCCTTCTCCTCCTCCTCCTCCTCCTCTTCCTCCTCCTCCTCCTCCTCCTCATCATCATCCACTCCTTTTCCTTATCCGCCGGCCCCCTTGTGGGGCCACCAGGCTGTAGGACCAGAGTTTGCTGTTCCCTGCGCCAATTTCAATTTTCAGTTTCCACTGTTACAATTCTGCTTTATGCTGCTTACTGCTCCTTGATGTAGACCGCGCGAGATGGGAGCGGAAAACCGCCCTCCCTGGTTAGCACCTCCCGGGAGGGGCATCAGAACTTCTAGGGGGGTCGAAATCTATACCCCTCACGCAGATCGGGGATCAGGGTCCAAAAACACATGGGATTTGCCACATTTCTGAAATTCGGTGGCACCCCTCACGCAGACAAGCAGGGTCAGGGCCAGGGTCTAAAAACATATGGGATTTGCCACATTTCATAAATTCGGCGGCGCCTCTCACGCAGATCGGCGGGGTCAGGGTCCAAAAACACAAAAGATTTGCTACATTTCTGAAATGCGGCGGCACCCCTCTTGCAGATCGCCGGTATCAGGGTCAAAAATCACATGGGCTTTGCCACATGTCTTGAAATTCGGTGGCCCCCTCATGTACATCGGCCAGGTCAGGGTCAGAAAACACATGGGATTTGCCACACGTCTTGAAATTCGGTAGCACCCCTCTTGCAGATCGCCCAGATCAGGGTCGAAAAACCAATGGGATTGGCCACATTTTTCAAATTCGGTAGCACCCCTCACGCAGATCGGCAAGATCAGAGTAGAACAACCAATGGGATTTGCCACATTGCTCACGCAGATCGCCGAGGTCAGGGTCCAAAAACACAAAGGATTTGCAACATTTCTCAAATTCGGCGGCACCCCTCAGATCGCCAGGGTCAGGGTCCAAGAACACATGTGATTTGCCACATGTCTTGAAATTCGGTCTTGCAGATCGGCGGGGTCAGGGTCGAAAATCACATGGGATTTGCCACATGTCTTGAAATTCGGTGGCCACCCTCACGCAGATCGGCGGGGTCAGGGTCAAGCAACACACTCGAACTACAACACCGAATTCAACAATATCATCAAAATCTCAAGATGTCTTGCCGATTTACTCATCGTCTTCGCGTGAAGTCCCGACGCTGCGTCACGGCTGCGCCAAGGCCTCATGATTTCGCTCTCGCATTGCCCATGCTCCGAGAGGGGGCCGGCGGCAGGGGGCGAAGCAATTACGCATACATAGCTTCTCCCTGTCGCATCCCGACGCAAGTTTTTTTGGGCGGACCAGGCGTTTCGCCTGAGACTTCCTCACCACTTATGACCCTGCAGTTTACAGTGTGGCAACAGTTTAACGGGTCGTTTTCAAAATGTGGCTCTCGCCCAAACGCCGCGCACATTGGTTTTTCCCAACAATCCTGTGGTGTTGGGTCCTCGTTTTGAAGAGACGGTGCCCCGCGTTCCCGCCTCCTTCCTCCCTCCCTCCTCCCCCCTCCTCACCCTCCCACACCCATTCTGGCACACCCCTCACACGTTTCGTGGCCCCATAGAGAGCTCCACCGAAGGCCCCAGTGGCTGCGCTCGCATGCGGTTCCACCCCCCATTCTGGCACACCCCTCACACGTTTCGTGGCCCCATCCATAGAGAGCTCCACCGAAGGCCCCAGTGGCTGCGCTCGCATGCGGTTCCACCCCCCATGTCGGCACACCCCTCACACGCTTCGTGGCTCCATAGGGAGCTCCACCGAAGGCCCCAGTGGCTGCGCTCGCATGTGGTTCCACCCCCCATTCTGGCACACCCCTCACACGTTTCGTGGCCCCATAGGGAGCTCCACCGAAGGCCCCAGTGGCTGCGCCGCATGCGGTTCCACCCCCCCATTCTGGCACACCCCTCACACGTTTCGTGGCCCCATAGGGAGCTCCACCGAAGGCCCCAGTGGCTGCGCGCCGCATGCGGTTCCACCCCCCATTCTGGCACACCCCTCACACGTTTCGTGGCCCCATAGGGAGCTCCACCGAAGCCCCAGTGGCTGCGCCGCATGCGGTTCCACCCCCCATTTGGGGAGCATAGAGAGCCACCGAAGGCCCCAGTGGCTGCGCCCGCAGGCTCGGTCGGCCCCCAATTCTGGCACACCCCTCACACGTTTCGTGGCCCCATAGGGAGCTCCACCGAAGGCCCCAGTGGCTGCGCCCGCATGCGGTTCCACCCCCCATTCTGGCACACCCCTCACACGTTTCGTGGCCCCATAGGGAGCTCCACCGAAGGCCCCAGTGGCTGCGCCCGCATGCGGTTCCACCCCCCATTTCGGCACACCCCTCACACGTTCGTGGCCCCATAGGGAGCTCCACCGAAGGCCCAGTGGCTGCGCTCGCATGCGGTTCCCCCCCCCATTTCGGCACACCCCTCACACGTTTCGTGGCCCCATAGGGAGCTCCACCGAACGCTTCGTGGCTCCACGCTTAGGGAGCTCCACCGAAGGCCCCAGTGGCTGCGCTCGCATGCGGTTACACCCCCAATTTTGGCATATCCCTCACACGCTTCGTGGGTGGCTCCATGGGGAGCTCCACCGAACGCCCCAGTGGCTGCGCTCGCATGTGGTTCCCCCCCCATGTCGGCACACCCCTCACACGGTTCGTGGCCCCACTGCGCTCGCATGCGGTTCCACCCCCTTTTTCGGCGCGCCCTTCACACGTCGCGTGGCCCCATAGGGAGCTCCACCGAACGCCGCAGTGGCTGCGCTCGCATGCGGTTCCACCCCCCATTTCGGTACACCCTTCACACGCTTCGTGGCTCCATAGGGAGCTCCACCGAAGGCCCCAGTGGCTGCGCTGGCATGCGGTTCCACACCCCATTCTGGCACACCCCTCGCACACTTCGTGGCCCCATAGGGGGCTCCACCAAAGGTCCCAGTGGCACTGCCAGCTTGCGTCCGCCACCACCCAGCACAGCCCTTGTTCCCTGCGCTTCGCCCACCCAGAACAGCGCTTCGTAGCTCCACCAAAGGTCCCAGCGGCACCGCCCGCATGCGTCCGCCACCACCCTGCACAGCCCTTGTTCCCTGCCTGCGTTTCACCCACCCAGTACAGCGTTTCGTTGCCCCATAGGGAGCTCCACCGAAGGTCCCAATGGCACCGCTCGCATGCGTCCGCCACCACGCAGCACAGTCCTTGCTGACCGCGTCTCACCCACCCAGTACAGCGTTTCGTGGCCCCATAGGGAGCTCCACCGAACGCCGCAGTGGCTGCGCTCGCATGCGGTTCCACCCCCGATTTCGGTACACCCCTCACACGCTTCGTGGCCCCATAGGGAGCTCCACCGAAGGCCCCAGTGGCTGCGCTGGCATGCGGTTCCACACCCCATTCTGGCACACCCCTCGCACGTTTCGTGGCCCCATAGGGGGCTCCACCAAAGGTCCCAGTGGCACTGCCCGCTTGCGTCCGCCACCACCCAGCACAGCCCTTGTTCCCTGCGCTTCGCCCACCCAGAACAGCGCTTCGTAGCCCTATAGGGAGCTCCACCACAGGTCCCAGCGGCACCGCCCGCATGCGTCCGCCACCACCCTGCACAGCCCTTGCTCCTTGCCTGCGTTTCACCCACCCAGTACAGCGTTTCGTGGCCCCATAAGGGAGCTCCACCGAAGGTCCCAGTGGCACCGCTCGCATGCGTCCGCCACCACGCAGCACAGCCCTTGCTGACCGCGTCTCACCCACCCAGTACAGCTTTTCGTGGCCCCATAGGGAGCCCCACCGAAGGTCCCAGCGGCACCGCCCGCATGCGTCCGCCACCACCCAGCACAATTGCGGCATTCACAACTGCAGATGGTTGGGTCCTTCGCCAGGGTAATTTTTCAACATTTGCAAAAATATCACGGGTTGGGGGCGGGTGATTTTCAAAATGTGGCTCTCGCCTAGCGCCGCGCACATTCGTTTTACAAACTTGCACGAGCTTCTCGTATTGAGGGCGGGTCGTTTTCAACATGCGACTCTCGCCTTAGCGTCGCGCGCATTCGTTTTGAAAGTTTGCAACAGCTTCACGGATCGAAAGCGGGTCGTTTTTTTTTTTTTTTAAAAAAAAAAAAATGTGCTTATTGTTTTAGCGCCGCGCACATTCATTTTAACACTTTGCAGAAGTTTCACGGATTGAAGGCGTGTCGTTTTCAAAATGTGGCTCTTGCCTTAGCGTCACGCGCATTGGTTTTAAACATGTACAAGAGTTTCACGGTTTGGGGGCGGGTGGTTTCCAAAATGTGGTTCTCGCCTTAGCGCCGCGCACACTATTGCATAACATTTGCAAGAGCTTCACAGATGGAGGGCGGGCCGTCTTCAGAATGCGGCTCTCGCTCCAGCGCCGCGCACATTCTTTTGAATATTTGCAAGAGTTTCACCGGTTGAAGGCGGGTCGTTTTCAAAATGTGGTTCTCCCCTTAACGCCGCGCACATTCTTTCATAACGTTTGGACCAATTTCACGGATTCCCATGGTCAGCGTACCAGAAAAGGGTGTTCTGGAAGGGTTCAGGATTATGCCCGTGCAACAATTATTTTGATTCGCGGCGCTGACGTCCCCAAACGGCGTTCTGGTACGGCTCCAGATCGTCAAGACGCAGCAGTCAGGTTGATCCGTTGCGTTGAAACCCCGAACAAAATGTCTGGCATGCTTCATGGACTTCACGGGTGTCTTCCAACGAGGCAGTTCCCTCAATGGAAACGAACCGTTGTATGGGCCTATGAAAAGAGAGCTTGGGGGGCGGGTAGATTCCAACATCGTTGATGACTCTTTGGTTTACACTGGTCCTCCTTCTCCTTCTCCTCCTCCTGGCTCTCCTCCTCCTGGCTCTCCTCCTCCTCCGCCCTCTTTTCCTTTTTTCCCTCCTCCTCCTCCTCCTTTTTTTTTTTTTCCTCCTCTTCGCTCTCCTCCTCCTCCTCCTCCTCCTCCTCCTCCTTCTCCTCCTTCTGGTTATCGCATCCCCCTCCCGAAACGCGCGGGCTTGCCCCGGCACGCGGGCGCCGCCGGGCGCGTCTCAGCTGGGCGCGTCCTGGGAGAAGCGGGAAAGGTGGAGGAGGGAGCGAGCAAGGAGGCGCACGGACGAGGGATGAGTGAGGGAGGGAGGAAGAGGAAGAGGAGGGGGAGGAGGAGGAGGAGGAGGAGGAGGAGGAGGAGGAGGAGGAGGAGGAAGATGAAAACGAACGAACGAACGAACGAACGACTCTGGGGGGCCGATCCGCGAGTCACCTACTCACGAGCAAAAAGGTGCCCCCTGAGTGGCCCTTGCAGGCAGCTTCACTCGGCATCCCGCCCATTCGGGCACGGCCAAGTGTTAAGGCCCCAGCCCGCCCTAAAGCGCGGGGATACGCGCTCAAGGGGGGCGGCGGCGCCGCTCAAACTCACGTGCAACTGGCCAGCACAGAGGCCCAACACTTAGCAGAAACAAATACCTGGGACCGAGCTTCTTCGTAGCCCGAGGTGTTGAAACCTGCCGTTCCTGGGCAGTAAATCTGCGGGAGTCACCAGGGACTCCTTCCAGAACCTGATTCTCTGCAAATCGGAACGGCTGAGGGGCCCCCGGGGAGGAGGACGAGGCAACAGCAGCAGCACTCAGGGGAGGACGAGAAAAAGGACGGGGAGTGAGGGCCCCTCTAGCCGCCAGCTCGCGCAGACGAGCAGACTGCGCCAGCATCACCCTCTTCGCCACTTCACGGGCGATGGTCGCCGCAAATCTGGCGTTGGCGGCCGCAGCCGCTCGCCTCTCAGCTGCGCCGTTCCCTCCCCCGCCCACGACTCCCCCCCGCCCCCCCCGCCACGCTGATGCGCGCTACTGCTTGCGCCCCCGCGCACTTCGTGATGCGATCCAGGAGCTTGGCTGCGTCTCTGTCGAGGGCCCCCCGAGGGGCTGCTCCTGCCTTCCTCTCCCCGCCACCGTCTTCAGGTATAGCGCCAGACACTGCTCTAGCTGCGGCGCTGTGTGACCGATGGCGAACGTGAGACGACGCATATCCGCTTTGGCCTCCTGCTTTCTGGTGGCGCGGATCCTGCGCGCGCGCAGTTGGTCTGCAAGGTCCTGCAGATCTCTGCCCGGCACTACCGTTGCCCAGTACTCTTCGAAGCACTTCTTGCAGTCCGCGGGACACTTGGGATCTTGAGCTGCAGCCTTGATCAGTGCTACCCACGCGTGCATAAAACGTGGGCCCAACTGAACGGCGTCGTCGCCGTTCTCCCTGAGCTTCTGCACCCGGTTGTGATACTGCACGCCTGCGGCCTTGGCGGCGACTGCCGCGACCGCATCCACGGGCATCAGAAACGCGGGGAAAAAAACACCCCGCGCATTTCCCCCAACCCCGCGGCACTCGTGAGCGACAGCTTCGAGATAACGACTGCGAGCTGCTTCAAAACGTCTCCGCCCTTTGATTTCGCTGCTTCCACATGCTTGGCTTGCTTCGCCTTGCGATCTGCCGCCTCTACCTCCTGAGACGCGGGCTGCTCGAGCATCCCAGCGGGGCGCTTGTCCATGCTCATGGGCACGTCTGCGCCGGAGCCAAGGGGGGCGAGCCTCTGGGCAAGGGTCAATGAGCGCGCGAAGATGAAACTGCAGAGCCTCAAAACTGCGACCATAGCGCAAGCAACGAACACTGATTATATGAAGGCATGCAGGCAAGCCGAAGGTTCCGAACCATCGCATCACTACAATGCACTCGTGCTAGCGAATCGCGAATATGCCATCTACATATGGCCCTAGAAGCAGACGTAGCCAGACATGCGCAGCACTGATTAGAGACGCACAATGCACTCGATAGCGACTGATATCCATGTCGAGCTATAACATGCGCATGCACGGCGCGTCTATCAGCTAGAATAGCCCCGCAGACGATGCCCCGTCATCACACAGCATAAATTTAAACTGTTCGACCACGCCCATACTTAGCTCACGCTCTGGTCCAACAATCTGCCCAGGATGGGGGCGCGCATGCAGCTGCTGCAGCTAGAGCTTCACTCCGAAGCTCGCGCACATCAATACGTAAGCAATGCCCCCCAGCTGCTCGTCCCTAAACAATTCCATGAATCTCCCGCCCAGAGCCTTCAGTCGG